AGAGAGAGAGAGAGAGAGAGAGAGAGAGAGAGAGAGAGAGAGAGAGAAGCAATAGTACAATGCTTCAACTAAATTGACACAAGAGGACACTGAAACAAACGGCAATGGCATGATTCTTCGAAATGAGCTTAATTCTCAATCTCATAATTCAACCTGTTCCGAAAATGCCAACCAACCATCACTGCTAGTAATCACCTGACACCAAATCGGCATACATTTTCGATGACATGATTTTTTCTGTCAATTTTCGTTCAATCGGACAAAAATAAGGTCTTTACTCGCGCCGACTTACGTTATCACAGCCGATTCAATTTAAGTCAATTGTGGTGATTGCACTCCTTTTTTTTCGAACTGTTTTATTCGGAATGGTACACGCGCGAAACGATGACGTTAGCCAAGTCGGTCGAGTTTGAAACTCGTGTTCATGAAATAATACAAAATTATTTGACTCAATTGGAGTTTGCGTGGATTTAATAAGGATCCATTGAGTGCGTCACTTTACTATTTATATCAAGTTTTACGCCAGCCGAAATTACATCGAATCGATTCATGAGAATGTTGCGCGAAATTTGTTAAAGTTCCGTTTGTGATTGCCGAAATTCATTCAATCCAATTGAATCGCAAAGCGAAATAAAATACCGTCGAGAGTAGAAATGCTTGCGCCATGGATGCATTAGCTCTAGCACAATGAATATTGAATTAAGAGACATCGGATGCCACAACAAAAGATTTGTTGATCTAATTGATTGTGTGTGTTTGCGTGTGACCCATGGCTTTACAAAGCTGCGTATCGCCGGAACTGGGACATGATACAACTGAGAGAAAATAAATCATATAAACCATTTACTAAAAATACGAAATATCCAAATATTAAACGGTATCATTGCGAATAACGCAATCAGTTCTGTAACATAATAAACATTTATCCAATTGACATGAATTCAAATTAAATTTAACTCTCAACGGATCCGAACGGATACTCACCACTCTCTCCCTCTTCTCTCCATCATGAAAATAGATTTCGGGTGTGTGTGGTATTCGAAACATATTCCCATTTGAAAATGGTCAAAATGTTGTTTGTGTATTAGGGAATTTCAACAACAACAACAACAGCAGCAGCAGCAGAAGCAGCAAAAAACGTCGAAAATGACAACGAAAACACACTAGTCAAAACAATAGCCCTATTGTTTTTGCAATTGTTATAATTTACACCAATTGAATACATACACCGATATTCGGAATAATTCGTTTTTATGTGCTGCTGGCCTAATAGCACACAAATCGAACGGATCCCGCATTGGATGGCCTATCGATTACTATATAACCAATTTTCAGTTGACTTTGATGCGGTGTGAGTGTTGACATTGTGAATAGCATGAAGAGATTTAATACATGTAGGTAGGTACTCTAATGATTATGGTATATGCCAGAGCCGTAAGGCTACGCTCACTTAGAATAATTAACGGCTCTAAAAATAAAATCATACATTTTGGAAACAATCTGCGTAGCACAATTTGAAATTCGCATTTTGTGTTTGGGGATTTTTCCCTCGTTTGATTTGATTAGATCTGTTGAAAAAAGGAGAATTTTTAATATCGTTTATTATTTCGAAATATGTAGTTTTGTTGTCTAGAAATGGTTTTTTTTTTCATTATTTCACAATACATTTGATGTTTTTCTAGTTAAATTTAAAATGTTATTGATTTACTTTCGCCAAAATGTCAGTATCGTAACCATTTCCCGAATATTTTACGTTCATAGCACCTGGTTGTTGTGTTAACTTCCCAACCTCTTTCGTCAGATCCATCGATTCAGTACTACCGAATTCACCTCATTATTCTGGTTCTGGCTTATCTCCGATGTTCTGGTCAGGTGTAATTACGCTTCCAATCTGGTTTCGATATGAAACAAAACAAAAAGTACCATTTTGTCGCATTTCTGATCAATTGCAGTTGTGTAATGTGTTCTTTTGTGCATTGAAATTGTTTCCCTTTGAAAAGGAAATGAAAATGGAAGCAAAAAATGCAATTACATTTTAATCGTAGCATCTGATGACAATAAGCCATTCGACAATCACATTGTTTATCGATTTGCATTCGAATGCATGTTAATGGTCACGTTATCACGTTCAACATCATCAGTCGGCATCAAGGTGTGTGCGCGCGCGATTGCATGAAAACAAATCTATCACACGTATACAGCATAAATTTTTGTCGAACGACGTTTTCCGTGTCGTTTGTGTTTTCCGCATTTCAACGAAGCAATTCGTG